AAACCCCCCCCCCACCCTGCCCTTGAACTTCCAGGGAGGGGGCAGCCACAATTTCAATATATGTAAAGAAATTGAATATATAAATATATTGAAGATATAAGATGTAGAAGAATATATTTTAAGAAATAATAATCCACCCTTTCTGTAGGATGAATTTCTTAATTTCTAAGAGGAAAATTTAAGAATTATTTTCTCTGTGCGCTTTCATGTACCTCCAGCAAAGTACATATCAATATTACATTGAAATAAAAAACTTCTAAAAACACATGCATCTACTTCTTATAAAATAGCTAGTTACCAGAAATACTTTAGAAATGGTGGTGCTCTGTAAGTGACCATGAATAGGCCAAAGGACAATTTACTATACCGTGGGTCAATTTTTCTGTGTCATATTTGTGGGAGTTTCCTTCCAGCTTTCAATTAACAGAATTAATCACAAATGTGGATTTAAAAATACTTACATTACATCCTTAAATACAAGAATGTACAAAAAATACTTCAACCTATCAGCTCTTGCTGCATACACACATAAAGCTCTGGTGTGACAGCTGAATAGCACTGAAATCTACTCAGAGAATTAACCTCATTCTCACGTTATGTAACAGTCACATGCTCTCTGTCAGAAATAAAATCTATCCATATCACAGTTCTAATTCCTTAGCTATCAAGTCTAGAAGATTGGAAAACGGATGCTTTTGCTATATTCTGACTTGAAAGGGAGCTTTGATGAAGGTGTCGTATGCCAAATATAAGACAACCACTGCTGAATGATTCTTACTATTATGACATTATTTGTGCAATGCCATACTGACCCATCAGTACAATCTGACCAAAATGAACAAATATGGAATAGAGATAATTGCTCCTATCCCAGAGAGTCCACACTATATATGCTTTTCCTCGCTGTTCATCCTTTGTTTCCTTTCTGCTCCGCTAATCCCTTTTTAAGTGCTTGTGGGAGAAAAATGATACCCTTTGCAAATAGCTGAGATACGGATATACACACATTTATTTTCACTAGCAATCTTCAAATTCAAATCAAAGCAGACTATGGTCAAAGGGACACTGAAATCATCAGATTAGTTATGCTCCATATGAAGAATAAAGTGGGATGTCTGGACAAGTTAATAGCAGGTCTTAGGAAAAATGCTTCCCTTCTTTTAATCACATCTTTCAATTATATATGATGAGCTCTAAATTTACTAAAGATAGTTTTCTTGTAAAGGAAATTGACTGCTGAAAACCAGCTCTAACTGTAAACAGCAAAATGCAACAGAGTGAGCATTAGGTTGTTATCTTTACCACATTAGCCAGAGTAAACTAAAGTAAGAAAGGTGAGGGACAAGTATAAATGCCTGTTTTATCACTGATCATCTCAGAGAGCTTTCTGAAGTTATATGGTCAAAGTCTCATTTTTTGCATAATTTAAAACCGGACTGAACACAGTTTTCAGAAATAAATGAGGCTGTAGAAATATTGCTTCATTGGCTGAAGGATAGGTTAGGTCTTCTTTCCAACTTTGAGTTTTATATATCTATTACCCACTGAATTTGCTGCCTACTCAATAGAATTATACAGGTTTTACTCACTGATGACACGCTTGTGACTGAGTAGGACAACTTTTCATTTAAACACATACTTTTGCTTTGCAGGTCTCTCTTTCTATTTTACCCTTCTCACTCTGCGCACACTAAGCACATCAGCAAGGTCTGAAACTTTTGGGACCAGCGTTCGTAATTCTAGTTAGTAGAATTGTGTGTGAGGGCATTTGGGTACCTGCAAGTTCTCAGTTGTTAGCCACATTATTTTTCATATGAAGCATGAGTAGCTGGGTGATTTCAGCCTACTTGCGGCAGTAAAATGCATTGATTAAGCCTGAGATTGCTGGTGAAAATGTAAAAATACCATTCTTCAAATTAATGAGATGTTGAAGTTAAAAGTAATTGACTGATAGCCCTGAGTTGTATTAAAGAGATTTTTGGTTTATTGAACAGAGTCTATATGATGTTGTTGAAGGGGAGCATAGACACAGCACAGCAATAGAATTAGAGCAAAGATATTTTGCTACACATGTTGTTACTGTATAATTAGTGGTGAAAACCTATTTACATTTTCATTTTATCTCCTTCTTCTCCTGTCCTTACCCCTTCCCCCTCATTGTCCCTATTTTCTCTTAACCCTTGTGTGCTATCCTTTCTCCCCATACCCCCACGTGCTTTGCCCTGCTTTTTCCATCTTTGTTAGACCTTAACCAGGAGGCTGCCAAATGGCTTTTGGTGAACTTACTTCAGAGCTGTGTATTTCAAGCAATCATAGACTACACGGCGTGGGCAGGCTTTTTATAATGTGTTCATTCTCTGCTGACGTGGAGCCAACAATTTGGTTCTGTGTGCATACCATGGAGTAATGTCTCCAGGATTAAAGAGACTGTATGTAACACTTTTGAAAGGGAAAGAATTTTCTGGGCTATCTCAGGAAAAATATTGAATTACTAAGCCAGCACCATAGCGTGAGCCTTTTGCAACACACTCCGTGTAGAAAAGCTAGCTTTATCTTTGCCTATAGAATAAATTGATTTATTGTGTAAGTTAGCAGGACTTAATGCACAACATAAGCTTTCTCTGAAAAATGTAATTACCAAATGCTAAGAATTCTTCATGTATGCTTAGTGCCTGGCTTTCTGCAGGGGAAGAGTGTGCAGAGCTGGCTGCGTGGCTGGCAAACACAGGTAGTTATGGAAAGAAGAAATGCAGCCCTTTTAACACTTGGATTTAGCCTGAATCCAGCTGTTAATGATAGACCACTGAAAAACTGATATACTGAATGATTGGTATGACTATTACTATGTACCTGTAGTTTGCAGCAGTTGGGCATGCACAGATTTTATCAGCCATACCTACGAACTACAGTCGTTGAGGCTGTAACATTGTGTCCTATACTTCCTTCCCCTCTGACACTCCTGAGTGTAAAGGAGATAAATTAGATTATTCCCTGAAATCAGGTATGTCCATTCATGTAGAAGAAAAATTAAAAATCTTACAATGTCCAAATTACATGTCCTGTGATTTACATGCAGCCATAGTAACTTTTATTGTGTAGAGGACTTGCTATTAATATTCACAAGTAAGAACAGTCTTTGTTACAAATGTCATTATAGTCCTGCATTTATACTCTCCTGCAGAGTATGAAGCTGGTGATCTCAAGTTCTAATCTATGACAACTGAAGTAATATTCTAATGTGCACTTCCAGGAACATGTTGAAGGAAATGACTGTGATCGTTGCAAACCAGGTTTCTTCAATCTGCAGCAAAATAATCCCAAAGGCTGTGAGGAATGTTTCTGCTCTGGGAAAACAAATGTCTGCACACACTCTCACCTTACCTACAGAAATGTAAGAAAAATCATACTGTATCTGTGCATGTGATTAATTTTGTGTTTCTGCGTGTTGTCACTGTCTGTTGTCACCAGAGTGCATCTCATTATAAAATCATGCATGTTCTTTTATGCCCTATATATTTTTCATTCATCCAAAAGACAATGCTTATAAGCTTTGTTTCTCTTCATTGTGAAAAAATTCTGAAAAAGCACAGTTGAACAGTGAGAAGTGCAACAGAAGTTATAACAGTCAAAAATGAAGCCATGTGCATAAACACAGTCCTGGAACGTGCATACATAATCAGTCCTGAATTAAATGCAACATATCCGTGGGGCAACCTCTTTTCCAGGTCATTATTAAATTCCTAGACCTGCAATAATTAAGAATTTTGAAACATTAAATACACAACACACAGCTTATAAGAAAAAGGGATGCCCTACAGGGGCCATTTTGAGTGAATTTCTTTTGCATACTGCATTCCTAGGAAAGGATGTGAAAGGGAGATGAACCTACTATTATTTGTGCTGTAGAAAAATGTCTTTAGCCTGCAATTTTGCTCTAAACTTTACATTAGTCCTCAAAGCTCAGACACTGATTCCACTGTAACAGATGTATGCTACATATTCATGTCTGTAAATCGAGTTTGGGAAACGTTTTCCAGGTCTACTAGCTCTTGGTTTTGTCTGTATCGGTATGCTGGAACTCAGCAAGTAAAACCATATATACCTAGTGTGCTCATTTACATACCAGCATCTAGAAAAATTTCCATCCCATGGCTGAGCTAATTTATTGTTCTGCTTGTATCCAGGCTCCAGAAGCCGTCCTCGTATGAATAGTGTGCTCTTCTCTGATGATTCATTTCTAGTCATGGGATTTCAGAAATTCAAGTGCTAGTGCTTTCCAGCTTTGCTTTGGCTTTCTAAAAAAAGTGTATTTGAACTTGTAAGTTGTAAGGCTTTAGAAATGCAAATTATTATGCTGTCTACAACAATCAGAAAATGTATATCCATTTGTCAGCTCATCTTCTGTATCCTCTGTGACTGATATCCTTATGCATGTAAGAATTTTCTCCTCACTCTGGACCATATGAAACAGAGAAAGGAAATGCTTGCAGTTACTTCAAACTACTCAGAAGTTATAACTCCCAGTCCATACAAGAAGAGAAATTTCTGCTGTTATTACTTTGTTGTTTCCTTTGTTCCTAAACTGCTATTAATCATACAAACCTAATCAGTTTTTAAAAATGGAAGAATGAGAGGCTGACTATTGAAATGACTGATGTCCTAATTCTCACTGTAACGTGTTTTGTTTGTTTGGGTTTTTTTTTCCATCATTACAGATACAAGACATGAATGGCTGGTATCTGACTGGCTTACCGGGTCTCATCAGAGTTACCCCCAAGCAAAAGAAATTTGATGGGCATCAGCAGTTTAGCATCAGCAACGTGGCTGCGCGGAAAGTACTACCACAGACTTACTATTGGACTGCACCCAGTTCCTATTTGGGCAACAAAGTAAGTGCAGATGGTACTTGCCTAAACGCTAATTTGATTTATTGAGAAAAGAAATAAGGCTTTGAAGGAGGGTGGAACTGAGGGAAGATTAAGTTGGATAGCTATTTGACCAGCAAAATTGCAAGCAGGAAGGAATCAGGCATATGGAGTATCCTTGTGAGGCAAAAAGTTAAGTAGAGAAAATTATGTAAGTATCTTTGACCTTGCGCCCTCTTCAGGCTTCTGCAGTCAGGTATTAGAGAAGTCTGTATAGTTCGCAGCATTATTTTTTTAATGAATTATCTGGTGTTTGGTTCAACTTGTCCTGTTCTCTTCCCACCTTGTCCTCAGCTTTGAAAAACCAGTTCCCTCGTCTGCTTTTCAGAGATGTAAGTTGTGTATCAGATGTTGTGGGGGTGTGTTACAAAACTTTAATGTTTGGCAAGAAACTTGTGTGTGGGGAGCTCTCTGCCCTAGAACTCAGAAAATTCTGTTGTGAGCTCTGTGCCAGTTCTAATGCATATATTTATCCACGCCTGCATGTGTCCCTGTGTGCACATACACACATATTCATGCCCTGCAGGTTAATTTCAAATATTTGTTTTCTAAAGTCTTAGATGCTTTAGTGGTCTGACTATCAGGCTTCTCACCATTAGACTTTCTGCTATCATACATGATGCCTTCATGAAAATCTCATTTTTTTTCCAGAGAGGAGAATTGAGGACTGAATGAGTCCTAAATGTGAAGCAAGCTAAACAGTTTTCCATTTACCATAACCCCCATTATGCTAAAACTTGTCAGAAATGCTAACGCTAATACACTTGAGCACATTTTCCTCTGTAGTCTCTTCGGGCTAGTCAACCTCTTATTTATTTATTTTCTTCCTGCTGGCTGAAAATCAGCATGACAGAAGGTAAGTGAGCATGTTGAAACTAAATAGCATCATTCCAAAGAATTGGGCATCCTGTTCATGGCTATAAATTGTTAAAGATAGTCAGGGTCATTTAGCCAGGCAAGGGAGAGTTTCTTCTATGATCTTCCATGTCTGGTGAACTTACCCTGAGATATGAACTGATACTTTTCCAGACAGAATTTCATCCTGCTTCTATTCAGTGAGCAAAATAATGGTAAGATTGTGCACAAATTATTTGAACATGGAAGATATTTTTTCAGTGTAATTTGAAGGTCCTTTGTGGTTACTGTCAGATATCTCTGTATGAATGAAGCAATTTGCCTTAATAACTGAACCATATAAAATTTTGATACTACAATAATACTGAAAGCACTCACAAATTACCACAGTACATCTTAACTGTCATGTTGCATCACGTAAATTATAGTCATAATGACATGCTTAGGCCATATGATTTATGCTATAGAAAGTGAAATGGAAATAGAATATTGAGAGTCCTTATTTGTAAACCCAATAAAACATTTCTCTAAATAGCTGAAACTGGATAAAACTGAATAGCTGAAACTAGATAAAAACATCCTTTCTGGAGAGTGATTGCTAGCTGTGTTCCAGTAGAATAATTGGTATCTCAGAACAGGCAAGATTCTTTAAGAATTTTTGTCTTAGGAAATGTAGAGAACAATTTAGGAAATCTTATATCAAGATGTACACTTCTATTGTAATTTATAAACCTTGTGTCACAGAAAACTGCCTTTCATTTTTATTGTTAAAATTATTGCTCCTAAATACCATTTCTCAAAATAAAATGGAGTAACAAAAGGTAGTAACCGTCCTGCATTTCCTAGTTTTCAAATATAGCTCAAAAACCTTATTTAAAATAATTCTTCTAATATAAAGTTGGCATGTTAGTCATATGCCTCCACAACGTTGATTGCCATATGTGTGCTATCTGCTTGTTTTACATCCATCTCCAAATGCTTCTTTTGGATGAAAAAAGCATTATAAATAGGATGCTCCTGAGCGCGCAGCCTTCAGCCTTTTTCATCTAAATCTGGGTGACATTAGCCTATGTGATACTGGTCTTTGACTGTGTCTCTAAGGAGACATTATAAATAACAAGAAGCTACAGGATTCTTGTTTATGTCAGAGTGGGACAAGAACATGGGCAAATTCCTTTAACATCAGTATATACTTTTAGTCTTCTAAATATATATGCTGCTACCAAAACTTAAACTTTGTTATACAAATACAGATAATTTTTTTAACAGCCAGATATTTTACCTGCCTGACTATATAATATGCATGTGAACTGAACAGTTGAACACTGTTTTTGATGCAGAATATGTTTGGGAGTAATCTGGAAGAATTTAATTTCTAGAAATAAAATAGCTACTGGATAATTTGGGAGAACAGATTTAAAATGGCTAGTATTAAGGTTTTAGTAGGTATCATAAAACGGTTTATCTTCCTGCCTGCCTACCTTATCATAGCTTACTGAACTGAGGATTGCAGCAATCATGAGGACTTGTGGTCTGTTAGAACTTCTAGTTACTGAAAAATTGTCTTATTCTATCAACTCTAATTACATTTTAGGTATTTGAAAACCCCCTTTGGTTTTTGTTAGGAGTTTCTTAAATTGTTTTAACAATGAATCTATAAGTTTAAACTAAACTTGTGTCCATGCTAAAATATTTTATAAATTTGTCTGAAAGTGTTATGAGTTACATTCTGATAATGTTTGATCAGAGTTCTGAAAGGAAAATATAAAATTAGTTAAAAATTAGATGCCAAATTCAGCCGGATGACATGAAACACTTCTTTTAAGTCAGTGTGGAAAGGGTTAAGTGTCCATGATGTTTCAGAAGTCTGACATTATGTATATGCTCTGTCTCTCTTCCTTTGACACTTCAGCAAAAAGCAATTTGATAATTTGTATGTTGAGTAGAAGCCATTTACGATTAGCCGAAAGAAAACATGATATGGAGCATATCTAAATAAACATTTGACACCCCCCTCCCGTGACACACACACATGAGGGGCAGCTGAGGCCACTTAAGATTCCATGAGGAAACATCCATCTTTGGGTAGACAAAGTCTCTCTGCTTTATTTTCTCTCTGCTGCTGCAAATGCTATGTTCCTTTCTCTGCTAAGGGCCAGCTTTAACCATCAAGGTGGAGATTTACCCTGCCTCTTTCAGATGGTTAGGGCACTGCTCTTGGTCAGCAGTCACAAGTTAACTCAGCCTTTAACTGGAGGCGGTCCTAGAATCCACATCTCTGAACATTGTTAGGTCGCAATACCCTGCAGTCGTACAGAAAATAGATAAAATATCCCCTCTAACTCCTCTATCTGGGTTTTGAGCGGATATTAATGCTGCCGTTACTCATGCTGCAGGCAACATGATAGAAGCCCTAAAACACCTCTGCTCAAAACCACTATTTGCTTACTGACAGATTTTACTCAGATCGAGCACTTTCTTGTATCAAATGTTGTTTTACAGGAGTGATTTGAACTAGTTGTACAGCACAATCCCATTCTGTGTAAGTAAGGTTAATGTAATTTAGTCCATGAAGCCAGGGCATGTTGAAAATTAAAGCAAAAGATGCTTGAATAAAAGGCTTTGTTAGCTCTTGGAAAAATTCTAGCACATTTTGTTGGTCAAATCCATAGACTTAAGCGGCCATACGGTAGATACATTGTTCGTTCTCTGACCTCTAGTTAAAATCAAGTCAACAGCTAAAAGTTTTGTGTAGAGTCTGTGCATACAGAACAGGAAGGGGACTTGTTTGACTTTTAACACTCTCACTTCATTTATTTTGCCTGTTCTTTTAGAATTAGCTCTGTAACCTTTTTGCTGACTTACAGAAGTCAATGTTTCTTTCAGTCCAGAAAGGAAGACACTGTAATAAGCCTGTAGTCAATATGTACAAACTTTAAAAATCTATCAGCCCTTTAAAAGTACTCTACTGTGGAAAGCGAAAGATTGGGATGGAGTGAGCAGTTTGTTTTGTGACATATTATCTATTGCAGACTGCCCAGAATACCTCATAGGATTAAATATTGAATTAGAAAATAATCATAAGCTAGGTTCTTGTGGCTTTTATGTTTATTTCCTTCCATTTGTTTTCATTTCTTAGGCAATTCTGATGCAAAAAGCAGAATAATGCAAAGCAAATTGCAGTCTACAGCTCCCAGAGGGGAGGGAGGCAGTTGAAACTCAAAACATAAAGAAGCGTAAATAATACAATAATCAGCTTGAACAGAAATGCCAGGATCAATTGTCCTAAATTATTAATGCATCTAAACCCAGAAAGCTTCATCCAGTATTGTCATGCTTTCAGATCTCAACACTTTCTTATTCATAGGACATGGTGGAGTTAGATAAATCCACAACTCTGTTTCTTGCTTTTACTGCCTGCCTCAAAAATCTAACTTAACACCTTTTGGTATAAATGGATGAGATGCAACTTAAATTGTTATTGGAAGCTACTTTTTTCTACCATCAGTTTGTTTTGAAGTCCATTGGCCTCATGAAAAGCAGTGAGTGACCTAGCCTACATAATCCCAACACTCAGCTGTGTCTTAAATTTAGCCAGATTTTTTTTTTTAAGCATGTGTCTGTATTGCTTTTATTGTCAGGGAAGCGAAGTAGTGAAACATAGATGGGCTGATGTGATCTCCCTTTCTGCACCTTTATAAGATACTTCTTTCACCTCGTTATATGGATAGTTTAGGCCCTCGTGTAAAAGATTTGGTTCCCTAGTGCAGACGGGTTGTCCCAGTCTAAGCAGACCAACATTTAGTAAAATAATGGCAGTGGTTCAGGTACCTGCTGTGTGAGAGATTTTTTCTGCAGTGATGGTTAAGTCCAGTACTTTGTGATGAATTTACCTTTTTTATATCCTCTGCACAGAAATGAGTTTCAGCCCCAGATTTGAATGTGTAACAAAGAACATCTCCAAGCTTGCAAAAGTAAATTAGGGATGGAGTTGGGAATGTGATCCTCAAATATAAGGCATAATGTATCAAAAACAATTTTGTACAGACATTTATTGATTCTTAAATGAAATAGTTAAGTTAGATGCACGTTATCCATACCTGTAAAAG